GTGTGGGGGGTGGGGGGGGGCGAGGAAGGAACTATTGGGACCATTTGTTTGGTTTAACTACTCTGGTCATATGAGCCCACCTAAGAGACAGACGAGCTTAAGATGGCAGAACCAGCATCTTCCAGATGCCCAGAGCAGTAGTAAAGCTTTTAAAGAGCAGCAGGCAATTCTGTTTGTCTTCCTTTTTCCTTAAAATAAAAAAGCTAGGACTAGAAATTATAGATCACTTCATTCCTTTTACAGACGTCTCCTTTCCTCTTATAGATAGTGCATTCTTTTGGAAATATAAACCCTATCTTCCTATCTGGCACAGGGGTCTCTGGAGAATATGGGCGGGGGGGAACACGACACACATACGACACCACAACCACCTTTGAATTAACCTTAGAATGATTTTTTTTGTTAAAGACAAGCCAATTTCAAATCTAAATAGCATTCCTTATGGCAGATAGTTTGGTGAGGGTTTTCAAATTCACATCTACCTCTAAATAAATTTATGCCTTCACTACATTGTAATAAAAAAAAAAAAACACAAAAAACACCAAAACAAACCAAACAAACAAAAAAACAATAAAGAAGAATTTTTTTTAACCTGCTACTTTTCATAGACTTATCAAAGAACTAAAGAACACCAATTCTTCTCCCAAAGGCAAAGCAAAAAATTGTCACACTATCTCAAACAAAATAGCAAAGAATCACTCCGAGGCCAAAACCCATCAACACAGCAATAAATCTCAAAAATTGCTTCCTTGGCAATCTACAGGAAAAGGAAGAAAGTCTTCGGTTCACAACTGAAAGAGATGTTCCTGTATTACATATAAGACACATTCCCGAGCCACAAATAAATATTTGCTCACTAATGTTAAATCACAAGTCTTCTACAAGCCAGAGCCACAAAGTACAAGCACAGGAGGTACGTAGATTACTTTGACACATCTGTCATAAACTATGGACTTGCATAAACCCACTGTAAATTCCCTACATTTCCCATTGAGAAAGCATTGTCTGAGGTGCCAGATCATTGTCTCACACTGTGATGGTAGGACTTATGTTCACATCCCTTGGCACCTCCAAGGGCTGAGGTGTTGGAAAGCTGAGCCATGAGGACAACCTTCCTCATGGCTGGACGAAGTTGCACCTCGGGGTAGACAGCAGCTGGGCAAATGAGTCCAAGCAAACTCCGTTCTGTTCTACCTTGGAATGCTTCCAAAGGTGTTTATACATGCTTGCCAGTTTGACAGGAAGATAGCAATCAAATGGGTTTAATTTCTTCCTCTAACAGTTTATTTTGAGAATGAGGCAAGTGTCACCTCTCCACCATTTAGAACCAACAGCTCCATAGAGTAAAGACTTCCTTCCTACCAAAAGCACAAATTATCCTCTGCCAGCGAGCTCTGGATGGTCCATTGCAGCCAGTGAGATGTTATGCTTGGAACATCTGACTGAAAGTGCAGAAAAGGTTGTATCCAGCAAAGTTTGTAGCGCATGCTGTATAAAACCAATGATTGTTATTACACATTTTCAAATGCTTGCAGGCCTAGGAGGTAAGGGCATCATCCATCAAAAGGGACATAGAGATTCATAGAAGCTACATGACCGTAGACCAC